TTTGTTTCGTTAAAAAGACGGAAGATGTCGCACAAAGGTATATTATGGTTGATCAAAAGGTCCTTGCAGAGAGCCATGTGTCTCACAAGCGATTCTTTAGACAAGATGCAGCATGTTGATTTCTTGGGCGTATGTGTTTGGGTTATTTGTAGAGATGGCAAATCGATTGTGTGGTGCCGCTGTGGCAAACAGCTTCAAGCATCACATTTTGTGTTTCGTTCACGTGTTGTTTCTTCATAAGCGAATCGGCCGAATGGCCGTTTGGCTCAAGTTTAACCTCCCGTCAGGTTAGTTTTGGTAGCACGGCACTCGCCATAGCACGGCATCTCGCTGCGTCGCCGAGAAAGGACTCTCGGCGCTGGGGTGGGCTGGTGCTAGAGGTAGGTGGTGCTGCGGCAGGACTTGCCTGGGCCTGGTTAAGGTGATCTTTTGCAACTTGCTGTTTAACCTTCACTTCAACCACCTCTACTTCAATCATCACGTCCTTCAACCTGGTCACCGGCTTCAGTCCACTGAGTCGTGAGTCCGGGTTCTTTGGGTTCTTCATGGATTACGTGAACCCTTTTGATTCTCTGGGCAACGCCCTTTCCGCCCAAAACCGCAGGTTATCAGCCGTAACAGCTAGAAGCTGGGGCTGGTGATCCGGTTGCGGGACGTGACCCGCTACCTGCTCCTTCGCCTACTTGTACGCACAATGGCGTCCCCTGGAGCCTCACATCGTGGGCCAGGCTTCGTGGACGACGAAGCCAACGACCTTCGCGGCAACGCCGCGCATGCTGCTCCCGGCTTAGACAGCCGGCTGTGGCCCCTTCCCCCGATGGTGGGCGCAGAGCACGGACGATTGGATCCTTTCTCAGGTCGTGTTTGATGAGGATGCGGAGGCCCCTATCCCGGCGGCAGTGCTCCAGATCGAGGACGAACCCCCTCTAGAAGAGGCTGTGGTTCCTCCAAATCAGATGCCCTCGTCGATTTCGCCTACTGTTCCATTCGTTGCGCTCCAGATCGAAGACCAGGCTGCCCATCCTGCTGCTCATCCGGAGCCGGCTCAATCATGGTCCCTTACATGGGATCAGTTTGACCAGCTCCTCGGGAGTGGATCGCAGGCCGCGTCGCCTGATTTCGGTCGACTCGACTTCGATTCGGGTGTCCCCATCTCGGTTGGGAATCTTGATATTCAATCTCTTTTTGATGCTGATTGGAGATCCCAACCTTCCCAAATTGACAGATCTTTCGATGCCCTGCCTACGCATGAGCCTATTCAGGGTTTTTCCCGTGGTGGAGAAAATGACCCCATTGAAGATTTCTCCCCCTCTCAAGTTGCAGGTCCGGCCCAACCCGAGGCGGGCGAACGGGCGATTGAGGATTGGCCGCAAATAGCTGGCCTTCCTCCTGCCTCAGGTTCATCTGATGTTGACATCGTTCACGATCACCTCAGTCCGGCGGATATGGACTTCATCCCTGATGCTGTATCATCTCACTTGTCAGGTACCCGCGACCGGGATGCGGACCGCTACAACGCTGGTCCAAATCCACCGCTCTCCTCAGGTACTCAAGATCGGAACGCGAACCGCTATAACGCGGGCTCAAAACCACCAGATCAGGCACCAGGTACTCATCCATCGGACACGGGCCGCGAAACAGCAGGCCCAATTCCTTCCTCCACTTCATCGAGAAGCCATGCCGGTCTCTTCGCGGCCTTCACTCGGCATCGGACTCGGAAAGAGTCCACGCCCGACGTCATCGACCTCGAAGAGCAGTCCAGCCACCGTACCAGCGATGGATCCGAGCAGGATACACCTGGTATTGGGTCTACGCCCTTCGACCTTCTCGACATCCCCTTCCATCAGCCACCCAGGAGAGGAAATGAAGATGATGAAACCATCCCTGGGATCCTCGATGTAATCGATGAGGCCGAGGTCACACCAGAGAGACGAACGACGTCGCTCCCGCCGAGCCGCGTTGCCAAAGTGCTTTCCCCTAAGCCATTCAATGATGACGTTGCTCAACGGCTTGATCTCACTCAACCTGATCCAGATCAAGCTCAACATCGTGGATCGTCATCGTTCGGTAATATGTCGGGACAAACCGGCACTGACTCGCGAGCCACAAAGAGAAGCTCTGAGTCACCAGAGAGACAATCCCCCCGCTCATCACGACCCTCTTAACGTTCCTATCCACTCCGCTGGATCTGGGCTCAGCTCCAATGCTCCGATGTCTGAGAAGGAGACTGATGACGGGATCAACTCTACGCCCAGGAACCGGAGGCCTGGACTTGGCACCGTTGCCCCTGGAAACGGGGGGCTTCCATCAAATCAACCGGCCAACAACTCCCTCATCCCTACATTCTTTCAAATTGGAACCCCGGGCTGCACTCCCGACAGGGATGAGGATAGGCGTGGAGCTTGTGACGCTGATAGTCGTCCTGCCCCGTCTGCATCCGCAAGTGACGGCCGTCCGGTTGCATCCGAGCTTCAGCGACTGCTTCTCGCGATTCACAACGAGGTAAAGGGATGCAAGGCCGAAATCCAAGGATGCAGAACTGAGATTCGTTCATGCAGGGATGATATCAACGTTTGCGTCGGTGAAATCAAGAAGATCAATAACCGCGTTGACACTTTCGAGAAGAAGGTTGAGTCATCCTTCTCTGCCGTCGCCGGAACGCTCTCGAAGCACGAGGCCAAGTTCCGTGATTTCCACGAGTGGGTCGCCCGAAGCGAAAAGGAGATAAATGAGCGCCTCAAGATGTATGATGAGAGGTCCAACTCGGTCATCATATCTGCCGCTGAACTTCGCGAGCAGGCCGAGTCACTTGAGAACGTCAAGGTCCAGCTCCTTAGGTTCTCCGAGATCGGGGCCCTTGAGGCTGAAGTTCGGAGGATCAAGGACGAAGTTGAGGCGAACTCTCGCAGTGTCATTGACATTGAGGGAACCATCTCAAGGGAAAGAACCATCCGTGGGAACGTCGAGACGTACATCCAACACCTTGTTCCTGCGACCGACATGAAACAGTTCAGTGATAAGATGTCCGGAGCCCTGAACGAGAACTCACGGAAACAGGAAGAGTTCAAGCTCCAATTGTCCCGTATTGCAAGATGTGTCAAGGACCTTCATGATAAAAGCCTTGTCCCTTATCCGAGGGACATGCAAGAGCAGTTTATGAAGCTTGTGTTGAGGGTCAATGAGATCAACATGCAGATCGCTGAATTGAGGGAACAACCTCCTGCTGTCTGCGCATCTTCGAGTGCTGGCGCTGTTTCGGTCACCGAGACGGTACCCTGGGAGAAATCTGGAGACACGGACCCCTTAACCCAGGGAAAAGCTCCTAGAGGTTCTCCTCCTCGCGATGCTCGCATCATCAGCTCGGCGAGACCACTTCCACCTCCTCCTCCTTCAGGGCCACCTCCACCGTCACCATCAGCCCCCGTATTTGGCAGGGACCCCTCTAGAACGAGGGCCGCTGCTCGGGCTGCTGGCGCTGCCCCTGATAACCGGGCAAGATGCGCTCATGCGGAGCCTGGGCATCCACAGCATCGGGAACCTCGCTATCCATGCCGAAGCTGCGGCAAGTCAGTCTGCGAAGACTGCTTTGATCATGACTGTAACTCATGTTTCAAATGTAGCGATCAGTTTCCCAGATGCCGTGCATGCAGAGGAAGGGGAGGGAGACACGGACTTGTGACGTGTCTCATGTGCAAGGATGAATACTGCGATCAACACATCGCTTCACCCGACGATGTGCGCCGTTTTGGGTCCGATGTTCGACCTATTTGCCTCGGCTGAGCTGACCCCGATGGGAAAACCAAGCATCGTGGTCCCAGTACGGGGCCTGGAGGACCCGGTGGCATTCCTGATCATAATCCGCGGGATGGCGCTGCTCCTGATCCTGGATCCGGGCCATCACGTGGGGATCCGTCACATCGGAGTCCTGAGCCGCAACGAGGGAACTCCGGCTTCTGTTCCCACGCCGGAGCCGCCGGACCGATGCCGCCAAGGGCAATGTCATCGCCTGTAGTCGGACGATCGACTCCGAGGGGGACCATCGGCACATATCCCGGATGTTCCCCTACGGGGGGAATTTTCACTGGTCAGGTCGAGCATGGAACGTCTCAGGGAATCATTCGTGGAAGGTACGGGCCTGACACTGCTGTGACAAATCAGCAGAATCCACAGCCTCATCACGGAGTGCAGGGTAACTCTGGCGGACCAGCTGGTTTCTCTCTTCCACCGGGACTTGGTAAGGGTGTACATGGCGTCAGTGGCGTCGGCGGTATTGGGGCTCCCGACCTCCGCCGATCTTCTGCTGAAGAAAGAGTCTGCCCCCGATGCAACATCAATGTCAAGTCCAGCATCCCCGGGACACCTCCATGCTTCCAAACTTGCTCATTATGCCGTACTTCTTTGTGTTCCGCATGCTGCCCACCATCATCTGGGAGCTGCTCTCTTTGTGCCATATCCATTGGCAGAGACGGCGTTTTACCTCCCCATGTCTTTGGGCAGGCAACTCGGCCGCCCTTAACTTCGTTGCCGTCTGAGGCGAACAAGTGCGCCAACATAGAGCTTGAAAAAGAGCCTGCGCCGCACGAGTTGCGAGACTGGATCATTTCCACGAGAGAAATCGTGAGCAACGCATTCAGCTATGACTCGCCATATGCTATGTCTTGGGTCATGAGTGTCGAGAACGCCAGCACGATAGAGGTCCTTGACAATAGGTTCAACGCTGCACTAAGAAAATGCAGTACATCAAAACCTATCCCTAACCAATTTAGGAGTACTAGATCCATGGGGTCTAGATTTGGGGGGTTTTTGGCTATCTCGAATTATCTCGAATTATCTCGAATTATCTCGAAGATATAGGTCAGGTTGAAAGCAACTTGCATGTTTGGGATTTGTTTCTGCATTTTTTGTCATTTGTATGATGTGTGTCTTCATGAATGCCGTGCAATTTTGTTGATTTTGCATTTTCATTTTGTAAATATTTGTTCTAATGCTGAC